ACTGCATAACGTTTTTCCTGATCAAATTACAAATAAATTTCAACAAACACATCAAATTGATCATCCTTTTTACTTTCGTATACAATCATACTTGACCAAATTAAATTTTCAATTTCCAAAAACCTATGATACCTCTTAAATCCACAACCCTGCACCATGGACAATATCTGAACTTAAGATAAACAGAGATATTATCAACCGTCATTAAACAAAAGTTTTATACACTATTAAACAAATATGGCCATACCTACAACGTATACACCGATCCGTCAACAAATGAAGACAGAGTTGAAGCAGCAATATATTCGAAAGACTCCTCAGTTAGTTTTAAATTGTCATCAATTACAGTCATATTTTCAGCTGAATTATTTGCATTACTATTAAACTGGGAATAAGCCACAATTAAAGATAAAAATAAGTTTATTGACGTTTCAATTTACACTTGGAGAATCGTTCTCAAAATACAAACAGTAAATTAAACAAATTTTGTTTTTTGTTACATAGTGAAAAATTCTTCTAATAATTTAATTTTATCTGACTCATTTATATTGACAATTCAGACATACATTATGCATTTTAAAGTAGACGACTTTAAAATGATATTGCCAATATTGTTGAGTTGCGCTGCTGGGTCGACTTTACTTATAAGATAGTTCATTGGATTACATGAAATCTACTTTAACTAGAGAATATCCGTCAGAAAAAAATCATAGCATGTAATTCATCTTTAAAAAGACAAACACATGATATGATGACAGTAAAATTCTCATACAACAGATTGGCAATATCATTTTAAAGTCGTCTACTTTAAAATGCATAATGTACCTATGTCTGAATTGTCAATATAAATGAGTCAGATAAAATTAAATTATTAGAAGAATTTTTCACTATGTAACAAAAAACAAAATTTGTTTAATTTACTGTTTGTATTTTGAGAACGATTTCCGAAGTGGAAATTGAAACGTCAATAAACGTATTTTTATATTTAATTGTGGCTTATTCCCAGTTTAATAGTAATTAATTTACAATGCCACAAGAAAATAGCTTCAGAACAAGAATTATTTGCAATTCTAAAAGCACTATCGTTAATACAAAACAAAAACAAAGGAAGATGTATAATAATTACAGATTCTCTACGTTCATTATCCTCACTGACTTAATTGTACTGTGACAACCCACTTCTCCTTCGTAATAAAAAAGAACTTAGAAACCTTTTTAATAAGAACTTCCAAGTTCACTTTTTAGAACTTGAAGGTAACAAAGTTGTAGATCAACTGGCTAAAAACGCACCAACTAACCCGATGTCCGAAGCAAGTAACATATTGGTACAAAACGATTTAAAGCCATACTTAAAAAAAAACAATTCAAGAATGGCAACAAACTTAGAACAACACTCCATCAAGGCTATTCGAAGTCAACAAACCTCCACATCTTTGGAAATCAAAAATAAAAGACAGAAGAGAGCAAGTGATACTTACCCGTCTCCGTATCGTCCCTACACAACCTACTCATGACTATTTATTAAAGCGCAAAAATAAACCAGTGTATGAAGTATGCAACAGTGTTCTAACGGTAAAATATTTTTTAATACAGTATACCAAATATAACATACCCAACTCCTTAAGATATGCCCTAGATGAAAATACATATAGCCAAAAAATATTTTCTTATCTTAAAGACTGTCAACTTCTTCAAAAGATCTAAAACATACATTGTAATACACATACATATTATTATTATTATTGTAAATTAATGTATATACGCTAATTATATCAACTGTTACATTAATTTAAATACGCTAATGACCCTGCGTTGTTGATGCGCTAATAAAATAAAAAAATAAACAAAAAAAGATCGGATTAGTCAAATAAAAACTGATGCAACTATACACGAACTTCGTACGTAAGATATTTAAATGGCCAACAAACTCCTTGGCTAAACTGCATATAATTTTCACTTATACTATGACTGTCTAGAGATTACTTTTTTATTTCTAATACGCATCATTTACAGAAATCAATGTTTCTGCCGTTAATTAAAAAATATTAGATACTCTTTGAGTTTGATGTAACAGAATTCTCAAACGAACTCTGACAGGATATGAACTTTTGCTATTTTCACTCACTATTAGCACAGTCTTTTGAAGTTTCTATTGAAAGGAGAACATTAAATATTATAATCTTGTTTCATTAATGAAGAATTTTGAGCAGAGGCAGAGGCAGAAGCTACTATTAACTAGTGTTCATTTTCTAAAGCATATTGGCTTTCATATCTTATTTGTTTCCAAATTAGATTAAAAGGTATAAAAGTTCGAAAATTTTAATGTAATAAGTTAAAATTATGTTGTGAAAATACAACAAATCATAAATTTGTTTAAAATAGATAACAGTAGATAAAGTAAAGAAAGTAGATAAAATGATACTTAAATAATTGTAATTATATACTCAAGACATTTTTTTCTTACTAAACTCTATAGGTATAGGGTAAAGGGAGAAGAGATGGACTACCTTTTAGAAAACTGAAACCTGTTTCTTTATTTAATAAACATCAGAATAGAATAAAGAAAACTCGAAGAGCTATGGAAAGACAAATGTTGGGAATATCGTTGAGAGATAAAAAGAGGAACGAGTGGATAAGATGCAAAACCGAAACAACAGAACATGCATTGAAATTAAAATGAAAATGGGCTGGGCATAATGAAAGATATCAGGATGGAAGATGGGATAAAGAAATTGGCCGCTGGAGACCATATACTGCAACAAGGTCAAGAGGTCGACTGCATATGAGATCGAAAGATGACATTAAGCAAAGCGCAGGTGCAACGTAGAAAAGACAAACAGAAGACAGAGACAAATGAAGACAAATGGGAGGGGCCTATATTCAACACATGAATAGATTTTGGGCTATAGATAGATAGATTAAGGAGGGTTATTACCCTACAGTTTCTACATTCCAATTGATCACACTTTTTGTGTAGCGGGCAAACGATCACAATATACTACTCTTCTGGGATTTGTTCTTTATTCCAGGCTCTCAGTATGATTTTATATATATGGTTAGTCAGAGTAGCACCTCCACATTTAATAAGTTCTACGGGAATACCATCACTTCCCAGACTTTTATTATTTTTTAGGTGTTTTATTGCATCCAGTACATCCTGAATTGATGGAGGCTCCAACGTGTATTGTTTCTTGTTCCTGAGAGTGGTTGATTTGGATCTTCTACTTCGATAGTGAGTAGTTCTTTATAGTGTTTCACCCACCTTTTCAGTACTTCTTCTTTTGTATTACGTATGCCCCTCGTTATCCTTGCATAGTCCGATTCTTGGTTTAAATTTTTTTCTTGCATTATTTAGATTTTATAGAATTTTCTTGTTTTATTTTTCTTTTTTAATGCCTTAAGTTCTTCCATAAAGCGTTCTTAATTTAATCTATCTCTAACAGAATTTGGAATTATTGGTAGTACTTATTAATATTAGAGAGAAAAATACTCAGAAAAAGATAAGTGCCAATAAACCTGCACTCGTCGATATAATCTGTAGGTATCACAATAAAATTTAGATGTTCATGAACAGGACTTCTAGATATAGCTAAGAAAAACGTTTTTGCAAGACCTATTCAATTGCCGAAACGCGATGGAATTAGATGACGAGAAATATAAACGTAAGATCAGAACTCAACATCGACATCGGTTCAATCAATGAGATAATATTGTTATTTTTGTAGTACATTTCTAAGATCTATATACTTAGAATACTTATATCATACTTTAAAATCCGACAGTTTAGGACAAAAGTAAATGAAGAACTATCTAAAATGCATTCCATTAAGGCGGGAATTCCACAGGGCAGAGTCCTAAGACCTTTATTATAAATATTATATACGTCTGATCAGTCTACCAACTTCACATAACGTAACAATTGGCATATTTGCAGATGACATAGTAGCAATTATAAGTCACAAACACTTTAACATAGCTACACAATAACTCCAAGACTATTTGTATGAGCTTGAAAACTGACTAAAACAATGAACAATAAAAATAAATAAAAACAAGTCAACCCACATAACCACCACCAATATACATCAACAATGAGGAAATACCCAGGACTAAAACAACTAAAAACCTAGGGACACACCTGGACCAAACCTTGTGTTAGAAAGAACACATCACCAAAAAAAGAAAACAAATACAACTAAAATAAAAAGAAATCAATTGGTTAATTGGAAAAAACTCCAAACTGTGAATAAATAATAAAATTCTAATTTATAAAACAGTTATCAAAACCAATATGGACATATGGCATAGAGTTGTGGGGCTGTAGTAGTACACCTAATATTGCTATTACGGAAAAATGCCAATCAAAAGTCTTAAAATCAATTGATGATGCACCCTGGTACGTAACCAACCAAAGAATCTATGAGGATCTCAATATCTCAACAGTGAAAGAAGTATACCAGCAAAAGAAATTGCAATACATTCAAAAAGTGTACACACACTCCAATCTATTAATTTCCGCAATACCTCAACATCGAGTTATCAGAAGACTAAAGCGACGTTGGCCAACAGACCTGTAAAATGGATCCTTGATTCTCTCACTGAAGGGGACCACATCACGTCAGAACCAAGGGACAGAACCTAAACTAATCACATTAACTTATAGAATATATTGTTTTATTCTGATTGTTAATTTATTAGTTATAATAAAAAAAACTTCTAAGATGAAAAAAAGTATCAAGTTTCTGAAATAATGAAAACAACGACAAAATGTACCAATTTCTAACAAAAAATACCATAAAAGCGATAAGAATAAGAATTTTTTAATAAGCCAACCGATACAATGTAATAAATTTAACAAAAAATTATTATTACATATTATTGCCTGTATTGCGTGCATAAATTTTATTTTAATGATCAACATATCTTTCCAATTGTGAGAAAACGATAAAACTAACTTCTATATAAATGCACGAAATATTCGTACTTGATTAAGTACAACCATGGGTTTCAAATATATTTTACTGACCTCTTTCCTGGTTGGCATTGCGTAAGTATCATATTAATACTTTTATTTATATTTTTGTTGTTTAGAGTACTAGTTTTATTCATTTTATTTAGTCTTTAAATTGTTTTCCTTAAACTATTCAATTTTTTATTAATGTTTTATTTGGATATACCAATTGAGAACTAAGCGTTAACTCTGGTTTGTTATAATAATTTATCTTAATCATAAATCAATTTTTTAGTGCCGGCGATGATATTGTACTTAACAAAAAACGATTTCCAAAGGATTTTATGTTCGGAGTGAGTACTGCGGCGTATCAAATTGAAGGTAAGATATTATTTTTTTTAGCTTTAAAATAACCATTAAGTATTTGAAGATGAAAAGAAGGTGAAAACACAGTTGAAATTACAAAAGACAAAATAGTGGATTTATTACATAAAGATATATATATATATATATATATATATATATATATATATATATATATATATATATATATATATATATATATATATAATACAGTACTTACTCACGACAATATGCTTATTAACAAACTTGAGGAATTATCATCCCTTGAAAATCTTATTGTTGTTGGAGATTTCAATTTTCCAGAAATAAGCTGGCCCATTATTTCCAAAACTGATACTATTAATTCCCAAAATTTATTTAAAAACTTTATCATGAACTCAAATTTATTACAACTGATAACTAAACCTACAAGGTTTAGAGCCAACAATAATCCTTCAATTTTAGACTTATTTTTCACAAATGACGATGAATTAATTTCTACACTTGAAGTGTCCTCTTCTGTGGGTCTTTCTGACCACTCGCTTATTACTGCTCACATTCAATTTAGTTTATAACACCGCCTTGCAAAAATAATTTCGTAACGTATGCCACTACTAATTTCTTTGATGTAAATTCAGTTTTATCCCAGATAAACTGGCAATCTATTTTTCCTAATCACTCTGATGAATCGTCAATGTGGGACTATTTTCTTCATACTGCTATTACAACAATTTCTGATCATACAACCGAACGGCAGGTATATAGAAATCGACTAAAACCTTAGATTAACCTCTCAGCTACTCATTTAATTCGACATAAGCGAAAGCTTTGGCGAAGATATGAACTCACTGGTTCCCCTGATGATTTTCTCGCCCACCGTAATTTTTCTAACCGAGTCAAACAATCTTTGCTAAAGTTAAGAACAGAATTTGAGGAATCTATCATTGCAAGTGGTAATAGTAAAAAAGTTTATCGGTACATTCGTACATCTTCATCTTCTAAAGTCTCCATACCATTCCTTCAAAAAGCTGATGGGTCTTTATGTTCTTCGAATAACGAATCTTCGGAATGTTTATCGTTATTCTTTTCTCAAGTTTTTACAGATGAATCTAACGATACCATTCCTCAAATAATGTGCCCTCGTTTGTCTAAAACTCTTGACAATATATCTTTCATACCGGATGAAATTAAACATCATTTAAGGAAACTGCGAAATAATTCATCACCTGGATTAGACGGACTCACCTCTTTTTTCCTCAAACAATGTGCAGATTCTGTAGCCATCCCTATATCTCTCATAATGACTGCTTCTTTTAATCAAGGTTCCCTCCCCTCGTCCTGGACATTGGCTTCAGTTACTCCTGTATTCAAGAAAGGTAATAAACTTGATTGCAATAATTATCGTCCAATCAGCCTGGTTCCTATTGTCAGCAAGGTCATGGAATCGATTATTTCGGAAGCTATGTCCGAGTTCCTTCTTCAAGAAAATGTCATCCCTCACCAACAGCATGGATTTATCAAAGGTCGTTCAACAATCACAAACTTACTTCATTGTGTAAATGATTGGTCATTATCTTTAAACAATCGGAATCCTGTCGATGTAGTTTACTTAGACTTCTCCAAAGCTTTCGATCGTGTTCCAAAACGTCGATTACTAGCTAAATTGGATCACTATGGTATCCGCGGAAAATTAAACATTTGGATACAAGATTTTCTGTCCGACCTATACTTCAGGGTTCGTGTTGGGGAAGACCACTCATTAGATAAGCCAGTCAAGAGTGGAGTTCCACAAGGATCAGTACTTGGACCGCTACTTTTTTGTGTCTACACTAGTGATCTTCCGCTCATTGTATCCAGTAAAGTTTCCATTTACGCTGATGACACTAAGTTATATGTGAATCCAACTATTACCCAACATATTCTTCAACAAGATCTTGACGCAATATTCAAATGGTCCTCAGAATGGTTACTTCCGCTTAACATTGAAAAATGCGTTGTTTTACATATCGGCAAAAGTAACCCATCACTTCCGTACTTTATTAATGGACATCCTTCAAACTCTGTAACCTCACACAACGATCTTGGAGTGATAATTAATAGTGACTTAAATTGGTCTGATCACATAGTGTCGGTGTGTAAACGTGCTAACTCGAAACTGTTTTTGATTCGTAAGTGTTTTGCACGCATATCTCTAACCTCTGTTAGTAAACTTTACTCAATATACGTGAGACCTATTCTTGAGTTTGCCGGACCAGTGTGGAATCCAGATCTTAGTCGCGATAAAATCCTACTTGAAAACGTTCAGCGTAAAGCCACAAGACTGGCATACGGCCGTGTAAGACCTAACTATGAAGATAGACTATTCATGGCTCATCTTACGACATTCGAGCAGCGACGTCTTCGAGGTGACCTAATTATGTCCTTCCGTATTTTAAAACATAATTTTGGGAACCTAAACACCATATTTACTTTGAATGAAGACGATAGATTAAGAGGCCATTGATACAAATTAAAGAGGGAACAAACTACTGCAAGGTCCAGGGCGAACTTCTTGCCAAACAGAATCTTTAATATCTGGAACAATTTGGATCAAGGCACCATATCGGCAGCTAGTGTTAACATCTTTAAAAATAAACTTGACAGCACTTTATTTTTTTTATAGGATAGGATATTTTTTCTCGGACAGCATTATGTATTTATTTATTGTGTCACAATTCAATTTTCGTTAATTGTTTAACTACTTAACTTTATAATTAGTATTAGTTTTATAAGGATCGATTTTATTTTTGTTTATTTTTGCTTTTTGGGCATAATAGGAGCTCGCTCCTCCGCCCTTACTTGATATATAATAATAATAATAATAATAATAATATTATATATACATCTATATGTATATGTCTATAGAATATGAGGCCATTATTTGCAAAACTTGCTCTTTGCTTGAAAGTAATTTGTTGGGAAATCGAAAAAAAACATTAACGGCCGAGTAGTGTTTAGCTCACAACGTAAATTTTTTTATTAATGTAGCTTAGAGTTTTTAGCAATAGAAATTAGAAGTTTCTAGCCTAAAATGTTACAGGAGTACAGAGTTACAGAAAAAAATAATGTATATTGCAAACAACCAGTTTTGCAAATAAAGATATAAACTAATAACAAAAAGTATTTACTTCAATAAAAAACATAAGGGATTTATTCATGAAAATAAAACTTTATCATTTTTAGTCATACAAAAAAAATGATTAAACAATAAAATCTAGGTAATCAAATAAAAAAACAGTCATTTTCTGTATGTTGGCACTTTTCCAAACCATCAACGGTTATTTCTGGTGAGGTAGAATCTGTTTTTAAGTGTTTATTGTAAAAATCGACTTCAGGAAGGCTTCTTCAATTTTCTCCATAGTGTTTTGAAAGCCGATTATTAATAGTTGCTTTATCCCCCTTTAACTCTTTTCCCAATGGTAACTTCTTAGGAGCCATTGACGAAAGAGGAAAATTCTTCATATAGATGCTTTTAGGATTTTCAACGTCATTTCGGTAATTGGGTTCACCTTGGACTAGAACAGTGTTGCCTCTTTTGTAAAAGATAAACCGCTCTGCCTTATTAAATTCAAAGTGCCATGAACTAGGCAGCTTATTAACTCGTTTTGTTTGTGTCCTTCAATCAAACACATCTCAATCGATACCGATTTTCCGTACAGTGGAATGCTTTCTGATTAAGTCGTCGTATTCACTAATTTCCACTATAACAAACCGACCATCGGAAAAATTAATTCAATTTGTTTAATATGATTCGGCGATTTTTCTAGAAGCCAATAAGACAACATTGCCATCATATTCGAATTTTTGTTTTGTCCGCCACAACCATCAGCGAACAAACGTACTGTTTCTATGCCGACATCAAAATCAAAATTCTTTAGAGCATGTTGCAAAGCTGACGCTATTGTATTAGAATCTTTTTTAGAGTTAATTTCTGTCCACATGTAAGATAACACATTTGTTGATCTTAATTTATCGGTAGAAGTTCCAGTAACAATTGCAAAATTATTAAAGTTTATTTGCTGGCTGAAATATGCTGCTTGATCAGGCAGTCTAGGCAGGGCTAAGTTTTTTTGGCAGTCGAACGAAAGGTAAGTTGTGTTGGGTTTTGGATTTTTAAGGAGTTTTTAAAAAAGCCTTTGCTTTTACGATATGAGTACGATGCTCAGTGGCTAACTTTTGCCGAACAGCTAAAGAAGTTGCTACTTTTAACTGCTCCTTTGTTCCCAAGTAAGTGGAGCAACAGTCAATCAGCGGAGTTTTAAAAGCGATGTTGTAGTTAACATTTACATACTTTCGAAAATAACTAAGCTTCACACGCATAGGCTAAGGCACTCTCTGAAGATAATGGCTAAAAAGTTTCTTAAAATTCAAGCCACATGGCAAGTAGACTCTCACGCTTGTCATGCTTCTACAGTAATGAGATTTTGTACATGTTATGGATTCTATAAATTTTTTGACGTTTGTTTCTTTTTTCATCATTTTTTGGATCCACTCAATTGCCACCTCTACGTTCTCTTGGTAGCTCCCCAGTTATAACAAAATTTCTTACAACTCTTTGTATGCGGTCCTTGCTTAAATTTGTGATTCCTAGAAACAATTTGGCACATACTCTAATCATCTTACCCTCACTCAAACGTACACTGTATTTTATCGACAATGCAGCATGATTAGATTTTCCTCTTTTCGGTTTCTATCCCTTATAACAAGCCAGTATCAGGTCTTGTTTACTTTTATCTTTTGACTGATAAAGGTAGGCATGGAAATCTATCACTTGCTTCATCGTGAGTGTGTTACAATAATACGGCAATCCGGGTCGTCCATTATGACCACAAGTTGGAAAGGCCTACAGTGTTTTGGTGTATTTCTGTAACAATATATCTCTTTTAATAAACTTTGTGTGTAGCCCTACTCAACGTTAAATCGCGAAAAAAAGTAAAACTCCATAAAAATCAAACGATTGTCGAACAAGTCTAACATTATAAATTTTAATATGAAGTACTTACCTAGCAAGTTTATCTAGATTCGTCCTTTTCCCTGTGGACTAGGTTTAACCGAACAACCATTTTCACTTAATAACTCCATAACAATAAAAAAAAAACTGTTCCTAATTCGCCAAAATGCTATTCATTCGCTTGAATAATTACAAACTACTGAAAATTCGTTTCTTCAACACAGCTGTTGTAATAGCGTGTTCGTGACGTAAACTAATCGGCCTATTTCATTTTAGGTAGAGCAAACAGCAAGTTTAGCAGGTAAACGTTTAAAGCAAAGAGAGAGTTCTGCAAATAACTAAGTTTGTCGACAGCGTTTGTATTCTAAAAAACGAGTTTTGGGAAATTCTGATTATGTCATTCGATTCCTATTTAAAAATGAAAAAAACTTAACAAAAAAAATAATTTTCGAAACTTTTGTCGATTAGCGAGTTTTGAAAATAATGGCCTTATATACGTTCCAAAACCATTTCCGCTTCTTCTTCTTTTAGTACTCTGTCCGATTATTGAACGTTGGCGATCATATTGGATATAATAACTTTATTTACGGCAGCTCTAAATAAATTAGCGGTGGTTTCTTGGATACCATTCTCGGAGATTTCGGAGCCAGGATGTTCCTCGTCAGCCTAGGCCTTCTTTCGGCGATCTTACCCTGTATGATGAGGTGTAGAAGGGGTATATATCGGTGGATGTCTCATTACATGACTGAAATATTGTCACTTTTGAATTTTTATCGTTTTTGTTATTTCTGTGCTCTTTTTCATTCGCTTCATTTCATTTTTTATTCGATCAACCCAACTTACCCGCAATTTCAGAGGCCTCCAATTTTTTCATTAATATCTCTGTAATAGACTTTGTAATCAATAGGATAGAAGAAGGACTAAAAATCAACAAAACATGGATACCAGTATTAAAATCCACAAACGCCCTTCCCGCCAAACACGGAGATAGAAAAGCTACTATAAACAACGACACGCCCCCTCAAGCCGAAACCAGTGGAGGGGAGGCGAGTGGGAATTATAAATATTGCCTCCGTAGTACAACGCGTCGTCAGTTTCTGCTTACAAGCGAAGCATCAACATCTCCAGAAGATGCCAACCCTAGTGTTGGCGAAACGTCGAGAACTAATCTCAACAGAAGACAACGGCCCAACAGCCCGAATAAACAGTTTAATAAATCTCTGTAAGGGTCCAACTTTCTATACTATACAACAATGTGGAAAATATGTAGCAGCGTATTAATCTGATTTTAAGGTTTACTGTAATATCTTTATTAATTCGAATTTCTTTTAATTTATAAAAAGCTGGTCTGGTTTTTTCAATGCATATTTTTATTTCTTTATTTATATCCCAGTTATCGTTAGTGTTTGCGCTCAAATACGTAATGTGGAATCTATTTTTTGTATTTCTATTCCATAATTCCAAAAAATAAGTGTGTTTGGTACATACTAAGGCAGTTTTTCACCAAATTTCGTAAAAAAAATTTTTTTGTAAGAGATAAAAATAAAAAAATAAAAAAAATTTGAGGTTATGTGAAAAAAGTGTAAATACAAAAGTTGTAGATCTTTTTGTTACCTACAACTTTGCCATTTAACTTTTTTTTATAGCACTTGTAGATTCGCCGAAAATCGCCATAAACCGATTTTTGCCCTTAAAAACTACCCCCTCCCACTTCACGATCTCAGATGGAGTGGAATTTATTTTTTCTTCCATTTTTAGCATATTCTCTTCCTTTTCCAATAGATTTCATTTTACTATATTTTTTCTTACTTTTGGTTTCAAAAATTATCGACCCTTGTCTATGTAACTTCTACATAATAACAAACTATGCAATTCCTCCATTTTGTTTTTCTCACTGTTTTTTTATTACTTAGACAATCTTTCTTAATATTTCTAATCTTTTCACTACCTACATATTTAATATTTTAATTTTATCGTAGACAAGATTGAAAACTATAAAAAATATAATCAATCTTATCGTAGCATAAATCTGATAAATATTTCTATTAATACCCTTATGGAGTTATTTTGTAAATACAAGAATAAACAATTACTACAATCATTGTCTTTCCTTTATATAAAGGAATAAATTCCTTTAAAGCAATATTTATTTATACGATTTTTTACATCGTAAATTCTAGGTGCCTGGAACGAAGATGGTAAAGGAGAAACTAACTGGGACCATTTTACTCACCAAGTCCCATCTCCCATATTGAATAACGACACAGGCGATGTAGCCTGCGATTCTTACCATAAAATAAAAGAAGATGTGGCTTTATTAAAATATTTAGGAGTTACGCATTATAGATTTTCTATATCGTGGGCAAGAGTTCTTCCAACAGGTAAGTAAAAGATATATAATACACAGGTGGAGCAAAAAATGGTTGTATAATTTAGGAAAGTAAGTCAATTTTTATATTTTGTTTTAGCTGTTTGCCTCTATTTTTTTATTTTATTTAAGTTATCTTTCTCATAATAATAACGAACATGATCCTTATGCTCTCTTCTTCTTCTTATGGTGCCTAACCAATTAGTGGATGTTAGCGACAATTCTGGCATACTCTTCTCGATCTTGTGTGGCTCTAAAGAGTGCATGGGTATCGAGGTTTGTCCAATCCCTTATGTTTTTAAGCCATGAGTATTTCTTTCTTCCGATGCCCCATTTTCCTTCTATCTTCCCTTCCATAATAAGCTTTAAGAACTGGTACTTGGAATTTCGAAATATATGACCCAGATAAGCATTTTTTCTTCTTTTAATTATCGGCAACAATTCTGGTTCTCTGCCTATTCGATTTAATACTTCGACATTTGTTGTGTGATCTGTCTAGGGAATTTTAAGTAGTCTTCTAAATACCCATATTTCAAAAGCCTTCAATCGGTTGATCACATAGGCCTTTATGGTCCAGGTTTCTAAAGTTTTTTGACTTGACTTCAACTAAATTATTTTTTTTTTGTGTTTTTTGATTTAAACTTATTTTTCATCTGTTTACATGGTTTGCCTCTATTTTTCCCCCAGGTTGGAATTCAGGTGCTTATATCCCTAGGTTTTTTGATCCATTATCAAAGAAGAAGCCAATCTGTTTCCATTTTTTTTCTAAACTTTTTTTTTACTAAAGACACCGAAGTGTACTTACATTAAAATCTGGTCAGTAAGACCAATTATCAATTTGTTTCTAACTTAAATTACTAATGAAAACTTAAAATTAGGTATCTACTCACTAGTATCTTTCCTATTATTTTTAATGACTAGCATTAAATTTAGCATGCATACTCGCACAACACTTTGCTCTGCTTTTCACTCACTCACTATACCAGTTCAAAAGGCTTTGTCCTTTTGAGCCTTCTCTCTAGGTTCATAATATCGAGGAGCTGGATAGTCTCGACGTTTACATGATGATGGAGTCGTTGTTTATGGCTCCTTGCAAATTTCTTGATTATCTGATTGACGTCTTCCATCTTGAGGTCCCGGTGAAGATCGTTGTTCCTAACGTACCAAGACGCATCTACGATTTTCCTCAGCATTTTATTCTGGAATACCTGGATTACTTTGATGTTACTAGGCTTTCCAGCCATAGGTCCATACTGGCCTCAGTATTTGTTTATAGATTAGGAGTTTATTATTATTTATGGATAGAGAGGACTGCCTTCCCATCAACCAATATATTTTCTTGTAGTGGATGCTTAGTTCTTCTCTTTTCTTCTTCCCGTGAGCTTTCCAGCGAAGCTTCGCATCAAAAGTGATTCTCAAGTACTTTGCTGATGTTGCAATAGGCACTTGGACATTATTTATTCTAATTGAAATACTATTAATTCTCTTATTGGACTGAGTCCATCTTATTATATGGACTGATTATTCTCATTCAGCTTAATTTTTCAATTTTTGGTCCATTTATGGATTTTATTTATTGAATTTTGTAGTTTTTCCGTAGCTTCTTCGATGGTGTCACCTACTGCTAAGACAGCAGTGTCATCTGCGAATGGTGTCGTCTTCTAGTTCAGGTATATCTCACGTATATATTAGGTATAGGACTGGACCCAATACACTCCCTTGTGGAACACCTGCTTCAATATCCTTGTGATCAGTGTATGCATCTTCTTGTTTAACTCTAAAATGTCTGTTCGCTAGATTAGATTGTAATATATTTGAAAATTGTTTAGGCATGAATGATTTAAAAGTTTATGTATCAAACCCTTATGCCAGACTTTATCAAACGCCTGTGCCACATTTAGGAAGGTTGCAGAACAGACTTTTCTTTTCTCTAATGATCTTTTAATTATAGCAGATATTCTATGCACCTGATCAATTGTCGAATGCTTATTTCTAAATCCAAATTGATGAAATTAGTTTCTTTTCTTCAATTATTGGTAGGATTCTTCGCGGGAGTATTTTTTCAAACACCTTGGACATCACGGATAGGAGTGATATTGGTCAATATGATGTCACCTCAGTGGGGGGTTTCTCAGGCTTTGGTATCATGATCACCTCAGTTATCTTCCATAAATCTGGAACATATTGTAGTCTAAAGGCAGCATTTATTAAATTTGTTAATTTTACGATAGCTTTTCTTGGTAGATTTTTTAGCAGTCTTCCGGTAATGAGGTCAAAACCTGGTGCTGTATTTGGTTCGATTTGTTCTTTAATTAACTCAGCTACTTCTTTTGTTCTTCTCATTTATTTGCTCTGGTTCGGGCCAATCCTGGTCATCGTCTTGGTCATCTTGAAAGTTAAATGTGTTCTTTAGATGAGTGGCAAATCTCTCTGCTTTTTGCTGATTATTTTTGGCCCCACTACCGTCTTTCAGTTTTATTGGAGAAGAATGTAATATTGGCCTTTTAATTCTTTTTGTAGTTTTCCAAAGCGAGTACTCTGTGCTACTGTCGTTGTAAGCTCTCTCTGATAAGATTTAATAGATTCATTCTTAATTTTCTGGATTTCTTTTTTAAGTTGCTGGCTGGCATTGTTTAGGTTAGTTTTGTCTCGAGGGGCTCTCGTAGTAGTTCGTTGTTTCCTAAACTGTAGTAGATTATATTAATTTGCTTTGTTCTCTTTTCTCTCTCTCTTTCCAATGGCGCTACAGTCTAAATCGAGCATTGGCCTGCTTCAAACTATGCCTCCAGCCTGACCGGTCCCAGATAAATGCAGACCAGCTTAAGGCACTTTATTCCCGCTCTATACTGACTTATTATCGATCTGTATTGCTTGCTTGGTGACTCGGCGCTTGATGATATGGCCCTTTTGTCCGTTTCCAATATTTTATTTGTGGTATTACCAAACACTCTTTTTCAGGATAGGAAAGGACAAAATCTTTTCCTTTCAGAAAAACCTGGTCCTTTTTATAATAATTTCTCTTCCCCTTTTTAATTATCTGATTAATTTAAAATGCTTTTCTAAACATTTTTCTGAAATTCTGTTCAAAGCATCTTTTTGTTTATTTAAGGCTACATCAACAAAATAAACCCAGCAGGTATCAACTATTATAAAAGTCTGCTCAAAGAACTCAAAGCCAACAACATTATACCTGTAGTAACATTACTTCACTTCGATACCCCACAAGCGATAGAAGAAATAGGAGGTTGGGTGAACGAGTGGGTAGTCGACCGATTCGTGGAATATGCCGAAGTGTGTTTTAAAAATTTTGGAGAATACGTGCAGTATTGGACAACTTTTAATGAGCCCGTATTAATGTGTATTATGGGTTATGGGATGGGTATTACCGCACCTGGAAGGAAAACTAGCGGGGTTGGAGAGTACCTTTGTGCTCATAATGTTATCAGAGCCCATGCCAAGGTCTTTCATAAATATAAGGATGTCTACAACCCAACTGGAAAAGGTAAAATAGTTTATGTATTTAACATTAGTAAAGTCGAGTTCCAAAAAATGGTTTATATGGTTTAGTGCAGGAAAATAAAAAGTTAAGGCCTCTTAAATTTAGTTTTTGTATTAAGTGAAGTAAAAAATGAAACCTTGGATGTATCTCTGGTGTTACTGGATGGTTACGTCCATCGAGCAATATCCATCTTTTGGGCAAGAGGCCCTCAGTCTGGATTATGTTGCTCTTCGGACGTAATCATCTTAACAACACCTTTGGTGCATATATAACTATTATATAAATCAAAACTTATACAAAGTTTGTTCCTACAGGTTTGATAGGAATATCTTTGGTTACTGCTTGGAATGACCCCAAAACTGACAAGCCGGAGGACATCGAAGCTGCTAATAGGCTTATGCTGTTCACTGTAAGCAACCAATCAAAATATATGATTCATAGTGTTTATAGTTACAGTTTTTGTATATTTACAATATTTTACCTGCATTATGTTGTGTATATTTTAAATATTTTATCTGCAATTATCTTGTTTAATTATTAAGATACCGTTTCTTCAGATGTTTTTTTAGGAGCAATTTAAAGAAATATACAGACTGACCTAAACTTATAGGTATGTAGAAAGGAGAAAGAAGATTCTTGAAAGAAGATTCTTGAAGAGAATGAACACTTAAATTCAAAAAATAAATTCCCTATAAGAGGGTATTTCTCTATTCTTCTTTCTCTTCTTCTTCTTCAGCCTTAAGTAATCCAACTTTGGTATAGGCTTTCCCCAAATCAATCCGGTGTCTTCTATTTTGCGCGACTTGCTTCCAGTTGTGTCATCCGATCTTCTTTATGTCATCAGCTAACTCACTTGTGTACTTCCTCTGCTTCTTTTTCCTAACCATGGTCTCCATTGTTGTATTTCGTGATTCCATCTCTTATCTTTCAGTCAGATATTGTGTCCTGCAAAGCTCCATTTTAATTTGGAAGCATGTTCTCCTGCGTCTTTTACTTTGGTTATGCTTCTTATCCATTTGTTTGGTTTTTTGTCTATAAATCTCACCCGAGCATTGATCTTTCCATCGCTTTTTGTGCTTTTACTATTTTATCCATCTGTATCTGTATCTGTAGAGTAGGGAGGGCGAGCTAAGTTTCACAGCACTTAGGCCAAAATTGACCCATTGTGCATCCTCCCAGGGAACTGTCGCCCTTAGCTCCCTGGTTATCAAGGTTTGCACCAGCTGAGCGCAGTCGCATATTTATGCAAGCCATCCGCTGAATATGGTTTAGTTTGTTTATCGCTGTTGCTTGTAGCACTTTTGGTACCCAAGCAATAGCTCCGTAAGTTAACATTGGCCTAATGACAGCAGTGTAGGTCCAGGTGATCACTCAGGGCGAAAGCCCCCAGGTGCGTCCAACTGTTCGTCGACACTGCTTATAGGCAATATATGCTCTTTTAGCTCTACTATCTAAGTGTGAGTTCCATGTTAACTTCTTGTCAAGGGTAATACCAAGGTACTTCACTCGTCAGAAAAATTTAGACTCTAGTTAAGAATCCTTGGTGATATTAAGCCCATGATTCTCTTTTTCTGGTAAAGAGGATTATTTTTGTTTTTTTAGGGTTTATAGATAGTGAGTGTTCCTTGCACCATGTTTCTATTAGTCGGAGAGCAACTTGTAATCTCTCACATAGAGTGTTCTCAAATTTACCGCTTTGCAGTACTGCAATATCGTCTGCATAGACTATTGTGTAGAAACCATTTCTGCTGAGGTGGTCAACCAGGGTATCTAGAACTATGTTCCAGAAGAGTAGTGATAGTGCCCCTCCCTGTGGACACCCCCTCGTAACCTTGTCTCTGACAGAAACGTCTTCTACATTTATGCTTATTGCTCTATTGAAGAGCATACTCTATTTTATCCATATTGGTCTTGGTGAGTGTCCATGTCTGTGAACCAAAAGTTAGTATAATGAGGATACACTGCTCGTCAATTCTGGTTTTTAAATATTGTTCTATTTTGTTGCTTTTCCAGATCCAACTCAGTTTTCCATATCCTGCTAATTTCGACAGTTTGATTTTTTTTTAGTTTCATTATCTGTCTGAGGTAGATGTATTTGCTTACTGTTTCTAAATTTATGTCGTTTAACGCTATTTATCTAATGTTCGGTTTATTTGTCATTATTTTTGTTTTTTCCAAAATCATCTTAAGACCTACTTTTTCCGAAGCTTGAAATAGTTGCGTCATCATCGAAACTTGTAGCAAATAATACAATGTCATTAGCGTATCTTAAATGACTCAGTTTTCTTCCATTAACATTTATTCCTTTATCTACCCAGTTAATGTCTTTGAACACGTCTTCCAGTCCAAGTATGAATAGCTTTGGTGAGATAACATCTCCCTGGCGAATTCCTCGGTTGATTGGTATAGCTTGGTTTTGGCATCTATTTATATTTTCATTACAGCTTCATGTATGAGCACTCTGTATCGGGAGTCTATCCTGCAGTTGCTCATAGCTCTATCTATTGCTCAAAGTTTTATGGAGTCGAATGGTTTTTCATAATTAATGAAGCCAATGTTCAAGTGATATTCATTGCCTTTCTCTATTAGCGTTCTAACGGTAATAAGATGATTCGCTGTACTGTAACCCTTTTGGAATCCTGCCTGCTCTACTAAGCTAATCTACAAGGAGATTAGCTTATAGTTCTTCAGACTCCCCTGTCTTCCTTTTTGAAGAGAAGTATTGTCAAACTTTCATTCCAATCATCTGGGACATCTGGAAAAAAATTTCAATTCTCCAAATTATATTCCATCTGGGCCCGGAGCCTTATTGCCATAGCTTGTTTTATTTCGAAGGATTCTATGTTAGGGAGTATTTCTGATTTGACATTACCATCACCACAAAGATGATACTAAGACTTTAGTAGCCTTAAGGCAAGTTCAAAAGCAATTGTCCTCCCATATATATGTAGAGGAGAAAAGCTTAAATGGGTTAAGATGATAATGAACAAGTCATTCTTACACTTGTATAAGTATATGACTCCAGCAGTAATATCTTCTTAGAAATAGATTATTATAAGTTTACATACAGAGCTTTTTACTCTCCCCTCCCTAGTGCCATCTTTTCTTTGACAAATTGATTGCTTGTGCGTTTCTTGATCGAAGATGTAAAATAGCTGGCTGGTCGGATCAGCGCACTTTCTTTCTTGTTAATTCCCTGGATAAATTCTATGGTAGTTCCTTCCATTATTTTCTATGCTTTGCTGGGTTTTTGATTTTACTACATCTAAATCAATTTTTTTTTGTGTTTTTTTGATTTAAAATTATTTTTTAGCTATTGTCTGGTTTGTCAATCTTTCTTTTTTCTTACGTTTAAATTTAAGTGTTTATATCGCTAGGTTTTTTTGATTTATGCTCAAAGTATGGCCAATCTACTTCCATTTTTTCTTTGATTGAAGTAGATTTTATTAGTTTACTTTGTTCTCTCCTCCTTTCTAATGGCGCTACAGTCCAAATCGGGCCTTAACCTCCTCCAAACTATGCCTCCAACCTGGCCGGTCCCGCGTCTATGTTTTTCAGTTTTCACGTCTAGCAAATTTTGCGCGTTCATTGCCACTTTATCGTCCCACCTTTTGTGACCTTCTCTTGTTCTCTTGTAAAGTTCTGTAATAGTTGCTGTGTTGAGCGAGTTATTCATAATTTTTCTTAAAAATCTGTTTACAGAAGTTTCTAGCTTTTAATTTATAGTAGTCATAGTCCATGTTTCTGCTCCATAGAGTAGTATAATTTTGATGCAGCTATGAAGAATTAAATTTTTGTTGTACTCGATATTTTACTTGCTTGCAAATTTTGTTTAAAGCAATAAATCCGCGTTGCGACTTTTTAATTTATGCCATTTTTAACAGTCCCTTTCTGCTTCTCTTCTTTTCATTTCTGTAATTGATCGCAATATGTGAACTTGTCTATTTCTTCTACTTCTTTGTCCTTTTAACATTTTTTAAGATTTTATCCTAAGTACTGTGTTAACTTGTCAATATTTATTTGCATATAATTTAAGTAAGTAATAAAAATTAAGTATTATTCCGTGTAAATCAAAAATCACTCCACTCCACTCCAATGTTAAAACCATTTTCCACGTCCATAGCACAACGACCTGGGTACAAGGATCCACACATGATATTTTTCCGCGAGTTCTTCGAGCAAACAAGCAATTTGATTAAACCCAGCCTATAAGAAATGTTCACTCAGGTAGTACGATCGGGTGTAACAATTCATTGGAGCAAGGTGTGTTAACTCGAGTAAAAACAGAGTCACCCCACCGTGCACAATGCTCTAGACCATCCCTTTCCCCCCTATAGCAATCTGATTCGCTATAGAGGCACAACAATTAGCCAAATAGTCTTCATGTGGAGGTCCTGGGTAATAGAACCCCAACATGGTTTCCTAACCGAATGCAAAAACTCAGGACAGCGCATCTCCGCTTTATTCCTGTTATCTTAATTTGGCTTATCCGCTAACTAAAATTGCTCACTTGGCCTCAAGTTTCCGCTCTGAGTCCCGCTCAGTTCGGCGACTTGGTGCTCAAGAGGGTTGGGCCCTACGTGCCCGGGTTTTTGGGTTTTTGTTAGTTTTTTTTTTTGGTGGCCGAAGCCGGTTTTTTTGAGACAACGTGAGGCGCTATAAATATAATCATCCCTTTTATAACTACATCGCTTTTGTAACCCAGAGCAACAAATCATCTGATTTTTAAATTTATGATATCTATGTCTTTGTTGAGGAGTACACCTAAAATTGAAAATTAAAACACTTAGAGAAATTATTTATGCTTTAGTTTGGCTGGTTCGCACATCCAATCGTATTCGGCTCCTATCCACAAGAAATGGAAAAAAAAGTTACCAATAGAAGTAGTTCCCAGGGATACTCAGGATCCCGTCATCCTGGATTTACTGATGAAGAATCGAAATATGTTGCAGGTACAGCGGACTACTTTGGAATTAACTATTACACATCTGTACTAATTGAACATTATGAAGATGAACACAAAAACGATTCATCCTGGGCAGGTGATACTGAAGTGATTCAATTCCAACCAGATGACTGGGAGGATACAATAGTCAATATGTTTAAAGTAAGTTTTTTTATAACAATAAATGTTTTTATTTTTGTTTTGTGTTTTAACAAGTATATTTATATTTGATTTTTTATTTTGTTACAAATATAAGATGAAGGTGGATAATTTAAAAAAAAAACTACATTCAAACTGATAGCAAAGATTTTTGGCCCACGCATACAATCTTCCATTTTTAATATCTTTTTCTACAAATTAAGGGTATAGTATCAGATCTGGCTACATCCATCGTGCATGATTTGACAGGAAGTAAAGAAACACTCTCATTTTAGATGACTGCAGCTAATATTTGAAAATTGCTATTAAAACATTTAAAGAAAAGATACTCTTTATTATTGGTATTACATTCAGCATACTAGAAGTGCAAAAACATGCGTCAAATTAATAAAAAATTACGTCTTGGACGTAACCTGCTTTGATCCTAAGAGATGGACATGACAATATTTGATTCCAACTTCATATGACTTGACCAAGTTTGATCCCAACCTAATCTCACCGGTCGGAGTCAGTACAATGTGTCAAAATACATATTTGAAAAACATATTTGTTACTAGCGTTTTGTACCATGTATCACTAATACCATGTGTATCTCTTCAGCTTTTCGACTATTTAGGTACAAAAATTATGCTGTTTTTATTTATTTATTTGGTATGTATATTTAGATAATGTAACATATTTGTTTAGATACAAACTACCACTTCTTCATTATTATACCAACAAAAACAGTGTCTCTCTTCTTGGTTCGCATTCCAATTATTCAATGTCATTTTCGTTCTTATCAGACATAATTTTATTAATGTTTATCACATCTAAATCGAAATTGCCCTATGTCCTGCAATTTTTCGTCTACCCATCTTCTTTTATTTTGGCTTATCACTTTCTTGGCATTTATTCTTAATTTTTTATATTCTCCTCTATCTTCCCCTGTATCTGTTCTTAGCCATTTATTTTTAGCTTGTACTTTTTTTTGTTTTTCTCTACATTCTTGGTTATACCGTACGTTTTTTGTTTTAGCCTGACTTTTACCTACCTGCATATTTGCACCTTCTTCTATGGATTTTTTGATCGTCTCCCATTCTCTGTTTATATCTTCTGCTTTATATTTCTTTTATTCGAACTGTTTTTTGCCTCTTCATATTTTTTTCTTACTTCTTCATTACTGAATTTATTGATATTCCACTTTTTCTGTTGGTTTTTCTGTCTTGTTTCAATTTTAATTTTTTGTCTTATAGTGGCTGTGACCATGTAGTGGTCTGAATCGGCACACATACCTCTAAATGTTCTTACATCTTTTATTAACGATTGTTTTCGTTTATTAATCATTATGTGATCAATTTGACTATATGTTTTCTGATCTGGTGACCTCCATGTTACCTTATGTATTTTAGAGTGTTCAAATTTTGTCAAGCTTATTAACAAATTTGTTCTTGTTGCTAGGTTACATAGTCTTTGCACATTGTCATCCGTTTTTTCGTTTATTGTATGCTTTCTAGCAATTTGTTGTAAAAAGTCCTCTTTTCCAATCTGGGCATGATGTCTACTAGTACAAATATGACATCTTCTTTAGGTATTTTTTGTATCTCCTCTTCGACCCTATCAAAAAGCTTCTTTTTCGTCTGCATTGCTTGTTTCTGTGGGGCGTATAAGTTCAAGACTGATATATTAAATGGTTTGTTATTGACTCTAACATAAGCCATCCTTTCGCATATTGGCTTGAAATTTATAAGTTTCTCTCTTAGGTGCCGTATTATCATGGATCCCACATATTTTTGCCCTTGCTTCTTTCCTCCTAAATATAACATTGTAAGCTATTGTTTATCAATCTTTCCTTGTCCCTCCCAGCATAATTTTTGCAGTGCTGCAATATCTATTTTTACTTTTTGAGTTTTTTATCCATTTCTAGCATTTTTTCTGGAGTTAACATAGTTCTTATGTTTCATGTGCTTATTTTTAACCCTTTTTTTTTGTCCTTTTGTCTTCGTCTTTTATTTTTGTTTTCTTGTCTATCGTTCTTTATTTCACTTTTATTGTACCTGAGTTTATCTGCAGTAATTTTCTGTTTCTTTGCATTGTCCGTCAATAAATAATGTATCTTCTCACCCCTTGCTAGTTTGTTCCTCCAGCTGGTTGGTGTTTCTATTCCATCTCGTTTCTAGACCTTCTACATCAGTTTGTTGGTTTTAATTTGGACACGTTTACCTTTCTGTATTTTATCTTTTGCTATTCTTCGTATTTCCTTCTGTATTTATAATTCCTCTATCGTTAGATCATTGTTTAGATATATTTTTTCTTTTTTCACTTCTTTGAGTTTACTTTTGTTTTCCATAATTTTTGTTTTTTTTTTTTCTTTATTTGGCAGTCTGACTAAACATGTTTTGTCTCCTAGTTTCACTGCTTCTTCTATATTAACAGTTATATTTAGCTGTTTTTTTCATAAAATTTGCTTATGTTACCTTATCTACTACAAAGTTCTCATTCCAGGTTTACCCACAAGGTATTTACAAACTTGTAAAATGGGTTTCCAAGACTTACAATAATATACCGATCATTATTACTGAAAATGGATATCCCGATGACGGATCAACATTACAGGATGACAAGCGTATTAGTTATATTAAGGTAATAAGTCTTACTTCATGATACGTACGTGTAACTAATTGTTTAAACTTTTAGCGTCATCTAAGTAAGTTGAGAGACGCGCTGGATGAAGGAGTTAATCTCATTGGTTACACTTACTGGAGTTTCATGGACAATTTTGAATGGTTGAGCGGATATTCGTAAGTTAACGAAATATATTTTTTAATAGGAATATTTGGAGTGTTATAATAATTTTGGTTTTGAGAAAAACGATTGTTTTAAATCGTAACGCTCATTATTAGTGCTTGAAGTAACTACAAAAAGTATTGCTATTTGGTTCCTTTTTAATATGGTTTCTGACGTCAAAAATGAGATCCATGATCGAAGGACCATCTTAAAATCATACATTAATACAATAATTTTATTTTTTAAATGTGTCTTAATTTAACAACTAGTGTTTTTATTTTATTTTATTTTTGTATTTATTAATTTTTAATATAATCTATAACAAACGCCTTTTATTATCAGTATATTACCTTATAATATTTTTTAGAGTAAAGTTTGGTGTCTTTGCCATTGACTTTAACAGTCCCAACAGGACCAGAACACCTAGAAAATCTGCTGAGTATCTCAAAAATGTGTACGCGACCAGATGCATTTTGGAAGACAATTCTCAATGTATTGATTAATTGGAACATATATTTATTACACTGAAATTAACTATGTGATTTACGCATACATAAAATAAAAATATATTCTTCTTATTTTGTTTTTTAATGCTTCAGTTTAAGAGACACAAAAGCCCAAAAACAGTTTTGAAGAACTGTTACAATGAAAAATATCCAAACGGATTACAATGTTTAAAACGTTTCCGGTCCCATTAGACCATCATCAGTAAAAATGACTATATAATTCCACCACTAAAAACAGAAACAAGAAAATAATATAAGTGGATAAAAAGTCCACTAGAAAATACTGAACCATTTGCGACACACTTTAAAAAAATGTTTACACCCAATGACGAAAAATACTCACTACCATGACGTATAAATCGTCCATGCGCACTCATGGACGTATAAATAAAGATATTATATCTTTATAATTTTAATATATCTTTATTTATACGTCCATGCGCACTACAAACTGAATGAGAGATTATTTCAGTACTCACAAAACCTTATCGACTAGCACTAGCATCGAAAATATTCACTAAGAATTTTTATTTATTTTTATGTTAATTTACAATCTACATCATTATATTTATAGAGTATTAAGTAAATGTGTTACATCTAATGATGCCTCACCTTATTCTATTTTGCTCTAGTTTTAAAGCAGCTCTTGGTGCCGGGTTCTATCTAGTCTTTTTATGACTGGACCATTGTTAAATAATTCCTTTTCAAGCTCATTTTTATAGTGAATGGTACGTTAATTTTGTGACTCTGTGGCTCGATGGATTTCTTCTCTTATGAAAAGGAATTTTAAATTACGAACCATGGTCCATCCATTATCGATCTTAACACTTTAGACTGCAATCTTTGGATAATATTCAGCGACGTTGGCTTTGCACAGCCCCATAGGTTTAGTCCGTAAAACCAGACAGGCTTAAGTATAGCTTTGTATAGAAGAATTTTGTTTTGGATGTTAAGTTTTGATTTATGTCCAAGGAGCCAATAGATATGCCGGAATTTTAAGTAAAACTGCCTTCTTTTGGTTTTAATATGTTTCTTTCAAGTAAGACTTTGGTCAAGATGGAGGTCAAGGTATCTAGCGTCTGTTATTGTTGGTATTTTTACATTTTCAATTCTTACAGGTGGGCATATGTTGTCACAATTGAAAAATGTTATTTGAGTTGAATTTGTTTTATTTACTTTTGTTCTCCATTTCGTATACTAATCACTGAGTACTGAGTACACTATTCAGATTATGTTACAGGTTTTGTGAGGCTTCTATGGTATCTTCATTTACAGTTAGTTTTGCTATATCGTCAGCAAAGGAAGAGATTGTAGTATTAATCTTTGGTATATCGGCTGTGTACAGTGAGAAAAGCAGCGCCCCTAGAACCATTACCCTGCGGGACCTCGGAGTTGTTGATCTTTAAATTTTACAGAGAAATATCTATTTGATATGTAGGATTTAAATAGGTGTTTTCGGTTTATTTTTATTTTGTTTGTCCCAAGAGATTTGTGTAAGTACCCCTTTACTTCTTTTTTTTTTGTAGTTGCCCTAATCCAACCCCCATATCTTTAACTTATCCACGATCCAGCTCTCCAACAACCAACTGAGTGCCGTACGCACTAGTTCCGATTATTTTGTTTGCGCAATAGTCTTCCTTATGTTCTTACCCTGAGGTAAGCAAAACAGTCGTTACAAATTTCCTAAAAAGTTATCTTCCTCTCCAGAAAAGCACCACTTTTCACATTCGATAGTTGGAAATGCTAGGGACAATATTACGTGTGCGTCTTATCGGCGCACATGACGTTTAATACAAAAGTCGTGTGCGTCGATATAACACAGAGGGCAGTTAAAGGGTTAAAAAGTGCGCGAAAAAACATACAGAGAACATTTTTTGTACAAAACAGACAATTTACATCTATTTGAACAAAGTTCTTTCATTTTAATTCATAATTCATAACATTTTCAATTTCAGAATATTTATCATCAAACTGTAATCTACGTTAAAAAACCCAATTTATTAGAAACAATTCAATTTAATTTAATTAATATTTTCAACTTTTTAAACTTTTTTCTGTGACAGAACAGACAATGAAAGGCCTTGTTTTGCCTTCTTTCTAAGTAGTGATCTTGGTTTCAAAGGTAAAGGTAAACATCATTTTACGAATAACTGATCCAACAAAAAAACCTTATTTTAATTTGGTTTCTGATATATAGGGAAACTTTTCACTTAACGACTTATAATATTCTCCATCTTAAGGCAAGAGTTTCAGCTCCAAATGCCATTATAGGGAAGAACGCATTGGTCAAATGTCTTCATTTTATAGCTATTGGGATGTTGCTCTTAAAAATGTCTCTTAGTGAACCATAGGCCTTCCAAGCTACTGTTATTCGTCGTTGAAATTCACAGATCTGATTATCCTTGCTTATTCTTATTTCAGGAATGAGAAAAACACTTCAAACTAGGCAACTAAGAGATGAAAGGGGTGCACTTATAACAGATATAAACCAAAAAATGCAGAGATGGACACAAATATATAGCACAACTATTTGAAGACAAAAAAGAACAGAAGCACCAAAAGAATGATACTGGGCCTGACATTATACGAGAAGAAATTGAATATGCAATGAAACAAGCTAAAGATGGTAAATCTCCCGGGCCTGATGAAGTTCCTATCGAATTACTTAAAATTGTGAATACAGAATCTATTGATCTTCTTTTGGATCTATTCAATACCATATATAGAACAGGTATAATACCTAAAGAATGGCTCCAATCAACATTCATACTGCTTCCCAAAAAAGCCAATGCAAGAAGTGCAATGAACATCGCACCACAGCCTTAATGAGTCATGTCTTGAAATGTTTTGAAAAGTAATTCACAATAGAATACATAAGAAATAGATGAAGGCATAAGTAATACACAAATGGGATTTAGGAAAGGACTGGGAACACGAGATGCACTGTTGCAGTAAGTGTTCTTTCGCAGAGATGCTTAGATATTAATCAGGAGGTATATGCCTGTTTCATTGATTTGAGAAGGCATTTGACAGAGTGCAGCATAATCGACTTAAAGAAATTTATTAAATAAAAACATAGACAGTAGAGACATTAGAATCATCTGTAACCTCTATTGGAATCAAACAGCAAAAGTGAAAGTTGAAAACGAACTGACCAAGGATATCCAGATTCGCCGTGGGGTCCGCCAAGGGTGTATTTTATCACCCTTGTTATTCAATTTATACAGTGAAGCCATCTCAGAATTAGCGCTTGCCGAGATCAGTGAGCGCCTTATAATAAACGGTGAGCCACTTAATAACATAAGATATGCTGACGACACCGTCCTTTTGGCAGGAACACTAGAAGAACTGCAACACCTTGCTGAACAACTAAATATATTTTGCAACGATTATGGACTAAAAATCAATTTGAAGAAAACCAAGTTCATGGTATTTACAAAAGCACAAAACATCAAAGTTAAGCTAGTACTAGATAATACAGAAATTGAACAAATATCTTCGTACAAATACCTTGGAGCATGGATCACAGAAGATACTGATCAGACAAAAGAAATAAGATGCCGCATTGAAATTGCGCGTCAACTTTTAATAGAATGAGAAAACTTTTTGTAATCGCGATATCAATATATCGCTCCGGATAAGAATGCTTCGATGTTATATTTTCTCTACCCTCTTGTATGGAGTTGAAGCTTGGACACTTAAAAAATCCAACATTAAAAACCTAGAAGCATTCGAAATGTGGTGTTACCGACGCATTTTGAAAATATCATGGATGGATCGCAAACAAACGAACAAGTTCTCGAACAATAGGAAAACAATGCGAAGTTTTAGATTCCTTAAAGATCAGGAAATTGGAATACTTGGGCACATCATGAGAGGTGAAAAGTACGAACTACTAAAGAACATAATGCAGGGTAAAATCAAAGGTAGAAGAAGCGTAGGAAGACGTAAAATCTCGTGGCTACGCAATCTCCGTGAGTGGTTTGGATGCAGTTCAATTGAACTATTCAGGCGAGTAACCAATAAAATTATAATTGCCAGAATGATTTCCAATCTCCGATAGGAGTGGAACTTGAAGAAGAAGAAGAATTCTTATTTCATGACCGAGATATATGTACTTTTCTGTCAATTGATTTTGGATAGTTAAGTGTTCGCTGGAAACCAAATTTGTCCTAAATTGGTCTTACTAAGATAGTTTTTAGACCTATTGGTGAAGATACGTTTTCTAATTCTTGTAACATTTCTTCACGCAAATCTTCGGTAAATCCCTATAATAACAGTAAAATCAGGGGCTGCCAACTCCGCTATCTTCGCCTTATCATAAATATTCTACTATACCGTTCTGGACTTCATCCGTGACCCTGAAGAGACCCTTAACAAGGAAATTTGCGAAGGGCAGGGATTGATTCACTTTCCCTGATAAAACTATTCAATAGAATTCAAGGGACTTCAAAGCAGTTCCTATCCACTACCCTTGTCTTTACCCATAAAAAAGATTATCAATGATATTCTATAATCTTTCTGGTTTTATTTTTATTTACCTTTGTTAAAAACGTAGTTTTTGTCTTATAATCAGTATTGTCGTAAGCAAGCTTTTTGTATCTGATGGGAAATACGTATCTGATATAATATCTTTATCCGTGTGACATATTGAGCCCACAACAACGTACTTACTTAGCTTGATTAAAATGATAATAAAACGAAAATTAATAAACGAAAATTAGTCTATTTTGAATGACTAACGAAGCAACTAATTAGCTCACAAAAGTGCATTATGAATAATTAAACACCTCCGTATTGACAGAATATAAACAGCGCCATGGTTTTTCGTTATTAGATAATAGAGGTTTAATTTAATGGACGAATGATTGATTAATTCTAGGTGACCGTTGTTTGTGGACAAATACGTACGTATACTCTTTTAATTTTATGGAATGGAAATTGATGAATCCAGATAAAAGTAGTATTGACAATATATTGTTTGTTTTTCCTTTGTT